TTTCGGTCTATCTCCCACCGTTTGGGCGCTAGGGGGAGTTTCTCTCACGAAAGTGGCCCAAAAAGTAATACATTAATTTTAGAAAATATTGGATGGTCTCTTGAGGGGTAACTTGTGAAAGTAAAGCCCTTAAGACAAAAATTTTGTCCGTTTTGCTCTATCTCTCACCGTTTGGGCGCTGGAGGGTCTTTTTAGACGAAAATAAGCTAAAAATTGCTGTGGTGAACAATTAGGTGTAGAAAAAGGCCTAAAAACCACAAAAGACGGAGGAAACTCCCCTACCCCACCCCAAAAAACGTTTTCTAAGCAGAAGGGTGGGGTTTAGTCGCGGTGCTTCGCCGTTACATCCCTTTCTCGAGTCTTTGGGGCAAACTCAAAGACGACGGGTTTAAGCGGGCCGAAGGCCCGCTAGATTATTCAATCATGTTCGTCATCTAACCGCGTGACTGAAATGGTCGGGCCGCAGGCCCGACCATCGCCGCCGGCAGGCCAAGCAAGGGCGGGCCTGCTTGTTTTATTTTAGTCCCTTTCCTGTTCTTCCCTGGCCTTCCATCTGTACATTACTATTACTATATTCCTTTAACCGTTTCATTTGAGAATTTTAGCATACTAACGACTAAAGCTCAGCCACTACGGGCTGCTGCATAGCTTTTAAGCAAAAGAGCCGGCTAAAAAGGCCAGGGTGTTGGACTCAACTTAATCCCTGGTGAAAAACTGTGTGTGACTTGTAGGAAAGAAGTTTATCAGAATCTGAAATCTGGATACCGATCTGCGATCCCTCTTGTGTCATCTCAAAGTTCTATAATTTTGAGTTCTGGTGCTGATGCTGCTGGTGACACTGCTGACTCACAAGAAACTTTAAGCTCCAAAATTATTTTGTAACTGCTCCAAAGAATGCTGATAAGATACGTGCATTGAGTGTTCTGCCTGCTTCCATGCCTATTGAAAAAAAAAATTGAGAACATTTTGATGTGTCTCGGAGGCTAGTGGTTAAAACGAAAAGTCTTGTGGGTAAATCTGGGATTCTGTGCACTCCAAATAAAAGACTTGGTAGAACTTTGCCAGTAAATGTCCTTAATGCTGTGACAAACTGTTACGGTGGGAGACCTGCGGCCCTAGAAAAAGCTCCTTGGACATGACAAAAGACTGTAACGGGGCAACACCGTGACTACACCCCACCCTTCTGCTTTCCTAAAGAATTTAAAAAAACGTTAACAATTCTTGTTAACCATAAACGGACCCGTAGTTAAGAAAATTTCCTATTGTACAGTTTCGAGCAATATTTTATGAATTAAAGAAAAATGACTACAAGGCTGTTTTTGTTTATATATCGTTGTTGTTGTTGTGACGTAGAATTTATGAACATATTACTGCAAGTAGGTTTGTGAGAAAATGGGCTATATATATGAGAGCTCTGCAGTGAGCCGGCATGCCTAGGGAAGGTGGGGTACAGTGGGACACGGGGTACAATGGGACAGAGGCGATATCATCTATTTCTAACAGTATTCAGATGTTGAAAAAATTTGCCACGTTTCGCACTTAAGAGTTCTTCGTGGTGGCATTAATGATTGGGGGCTGGCTGAACAGGTTTAAACAACAGAAAATGGCAAACGAAAATAAGCTCCAAAAGTGGTGAAAACCAAGGTGACGTTTCGGATCAGTTTCCCATTCTGTGCGTTTAATAATTTGCAATAGAAAATCGGCAAGGTGACTCACCGATAGGTAGTTTCTTACGACACAATTACCAGCGTTGGGTTTTGAGTTGAATTCCAAAATACCGAAAAGGAAAGGACTAAAACGCGATAAGAGCGATAGGTACACATTGGGACAGCTCACTAGAGAAGTGTCCGATGCGACACTTTAAAAATTCTAAAATAGTCTTATTTTGCAATACACTGACACCAATCATGGTTCTATAGAGTTCTAGACCGCAACACAGTATGGATGTTGTGCAGTCATAAGTCAAATTTTTTCTGTCCCAATGTACCCCATTCCATGGTTTCTTATGAGTGTCCCATTGTACCCCGTACCCGGGAACATTGGGACAAGCAACACACTTTGGAAACAATCATCTGCTGACAAAGACTTAGCGAAACGACATCTGAGGGCTCTCATTTAC